ATTGCCCGACTGTGAAGCGAATATTGCCCAACTGGCTTTGTTTGCCCAACAAACTGGGGTTATTATTAAGAGAGATTTTATTGCTTTGACTACTTTTTGCCCGACTTTTGTCCGACTTTTGTTGAACATTTGCCCGACTTTTGTTGAACATTTGCCCGACTTTTCGACTTTGTTATCTTTTTTTGGGGGGGGAGGGGCAGCTGCCCCCTGCCCCCCCCCGTCCTCCGTCCCGTACGCCTATGACTGTAAACATGTTAAATTTCAGATCCATGCATTTATAGAAAAACTACCTTGCATTAATTAGAAAACTTACAAAAACCTATATATAAGACATTTAAACGGTTATCTTGATTGGAATCGAATCCTGGGCACTAGTCTGAAACACGTTTTCAAAAGCTCATAACTCAAGAAGAACTTGAAAAATCAGGGTAACCATTTAAATGTCTCGTATGTGGGTTTTTATGAGCTTTCTAATGCTGCAAGTTATTTTCCATAAATGGTCATGAAATTTCACGGTTTTAACAATATATGAGTTAAAATTTAAATGAAGAAAAAGTGTTGGCAGAAGCCCACAGAAAATTTGAACAAGAGTTATAAACGCTGCTGGCATACAGAAATATATACTGTATATTCTATACATAATATATACTGTACTTAATATAGCCTAAAGTCACAAGATGAAGGCAAAATGGAATTGCCGCACGATATGGTGAGTTTTCATTTATTTTTGATCCTCTATCTGCCGGACTGGAACGCGTGGTTTAAACAATAAATTAGTACTAGCTGCTCATTTCGTTTTTTTCATGCTTTGGAATTTAAAATTTGCGATTGATGACGTGCATGCGTTTGATTTGTGATTTGATATTAGTGAACTAAGCTTGATTTAAGTTTAGTTTCAGAAGTAACAATGTTTGGTATGGTGAATATATTGAGATTAGTTCTACACAAGATGGAAAACTTCAATTTCGATTGGCCTGAAGTGGTTGGTTCCTGCCAGGATGGTGCTTGTGTCGCTGACACCAGATGGAGCTTGGTAGGCGTTATTAAAATGTGTGCCTGAATTGGTATTCGAAGCAGCATTGTTCGATATGTGTATATCATTACCACTTCCAAATATTGGTCCATTACTATTTCCTGTGTAAATTGCGCTCGCACTATTTTGATTTTTCAGTGGGGCTTTAAACGGCGGCAGATTTTCTTTGTTGCGAAGAGAGAATATGAAGGATCCTGGAGCTTGTTTGTAGCCGCTACCTGTTATAACGTAAAAATAGTGTTTTAATAAATTTAATCAGATTTATTTTTAATATGCGTTGGATATAGTTTTGTAGCCAAAGGAAAAGATTGAAAAATACGGTTCAAATGTTCGTGTCGTATTTATCTGATTTTTACTTAAATGATTCGTTACAACCACATATAACAGCCTTTAATTAACATAAGAGGCGGACCATTAGAAATCCTGGGAGGGGGGGGGGGGGAAATTCCCAAAAAAACTTCGTGCAAAAAAAAAGGCCTGGAAAAACTTCGTGCAGCCATTACGTCAGAGAAAAAAATTCGTGCAAGCAAACAACAAAGTACAAATAGTCTTGAAAAAAAATTTGTGCAGAGGTTAAATGCATTAAAAAATATCCTGCAGAAACATGAGACTGCAGAAACATGAGACTCCGTTCTAATGATCCGCTCCTAAGGATACAAAAAATAGTAAATTTCTCGTATGGAACGAACTGATCATGTCAAGCAAAGCCATTTATGTTATATAATTCATAATAGTTTATACCCAGCAACTTCTAGAGAATTGAGAGCAACTTTTTCAATTTTTGACAACTTTTGAACAACTTTTTGCCATTTTTTTGAACAACTTTTACTCAATTTTTGTATCACAATCTAAAATGGCCTACTTATAACACAGATATTAACAATTATAAGGCTGCTAAATAGCCTCAATTGTCATTTTAATTATTGATAAAAGGAGAAATTTTGCCATATTATGAGAGATGCGAAACCAGTCGAAATTCTATATTTGCATGTATACAGTTCCGCGCATGTCATATTTGATACAATCGTCCAAAGCGAAAAATGTTTTGTAAATCCAATATTTAGGCTAGATATTCTCATAGGAATCCTATAGAAGATAACAGGACTTTGTCACATCTTTTGTTTTGAAAAGACAAAGGAAATCACTGCCGTATCGGTGGTTTATATGTGATAAAAAATCATGTTCATGCATTTACATGAACTTTAGCTTTGATTTTCTCAGCTTAAACAACGTTCATTTTTGAAATTACGTCGCCAATGAACTCATCAGATGAGTCTTTTTTTAAACCATTTAAAACACTCGCAGTCCGTGTTTTATCACATATAAAACACTCGAGCTGCGTTCTTGTGTTTTAGATCTGATAAAACACTCCTGCTCGTGTTTTAAATACTACATACAGTTTCTAATTACAATGTTGCGCATACACGAAAGATTTTTGAGAGTACTAAGAAATCAATTTTTAGTTCATTTTACAACCGCAATATATAGCAGTTGACATGCGGTTATTTGTTTACTTTTTCAAAATAATCTCAGACACTTTATACTTTTAAAATAAAAGGAGCATATTATAGTTTTATATATCATCTTTAGGGGCTCTATAAAAAATATTTACTGGAATTGTTCCATTTCTAAACTTCACTTTTTCTATTATCGATGAGCGGGCAATGGTCAATTAATGATGCCAAATTCTATTTAATTTTGACTCCGAAAGAAGTTTTTACAAAATGGAACTCTATATGGTCATATATCGGTTACTTTTCTTGTACATGCAACCCCCTCCTCCTTTTTCGAAAAACTGAATTTCAAGATGAAACCTTCATTGATTTCTATAGTATATACCAAAAGCTAATGCATGAGTTGGAAGGAAATGATGGAAAGAAGTAACATTAATTAGGCTATTATAGTCTCACCTTCCCAAGACTCTGTAGCATACCCTCCGAAAATATAACTGCCAACTTTAACCAGGGTAACTGTTGGTTTCTTGTAGTTGCACTTGCTGTGAAAGGTACTGCCCATCCATCTCTTGTTGCACGCCAACACAATTTCGCAGTAAAGATTCTTTCGATCCATATTTTGAATAATTGATCATACCTGTAGTAAGATTGTCCAGATAATATAATTGATTCTGCAAACATTGGATCTATATAAAATTAAAAAAGTATTGAGACAGTAGGAATCTTGACCACAATTTTTATCGTTATTTATCGTCAACAGCATGCATGTATATAATTTGTATATGATTATGAAGATTCCTCCGATCCATGATTTTAATAAGTGATCATAGTAAAGTTCTCCTGACAATATATCTGATTCAGAAAACCTCGGATCTATTTGAGAATTAACATATCAGGACAGTAGGAATGTTCAGACACTACTTATCAACAACTGTTTCTGATTGTATCAGGATAGAAATAGAAAATGCACGTAAAAGTTAAAAGTAAAACTTGATTACAAATAACATTTGTGGCTAATTGTTGTTTTCGGACAGAAGATATATGATCACATGACTATGAAAGGTAATTCCACTCTCACTTCCGTTCTAATTACTGTAAAGTCTGTGGTGTAGCTATAACATATCAAACATATTAAAAATCAATTTATCCTCCACTATTTTTATAATTTTCTGCATATGTATAGGCTATCATATGAGGGGCGAGGCGATATCAGTTTTATCGTTCGAAGGACGATATCATATCGCCTCGTTCCGATTATGACAACCTAGTGTTATGTACTTGTTAGTATTATGTATTATGTTATGTAATTTATTATTATACTCAGACTTTATTGAGTATTAATCATTGTCCCAATACAACAATTATTAAAAAGCGAGGGAAAAAGCGATATCAATGACAAAAAAAAACTATATCAGTGACATGTCGTTTTTATGTCACCTCAAAATTGTTATCGCCCTGATAAAGGAACAAGTATGAAAAAAAGTGCAAGGATTCACAAAAATTCTACGGAAATATATGCGTCCACATGCAGAAATAAATTTGTAGAAACTTAAAGGCACAGTTCAGCCTTTTGAATGATGGTTTTTAAGGCGCATTACAAGCCTTTTAATTGAAAAAACTAATTAGGAAAATCAATTAAGCATAATTCAAGATTAGTGATTTCAATGTTTTTAACATTTTTAAACATTTCTAATGTTAAAACATTGAGTTCACTGATTTTGAATTATGCTTAATTGATTTTCCTAGTTAGTTTTTTCAATTGAAAGGCTTGTAATGCGCCATAAAAACCATCACTCAGAAGGCTGAACTGTGCCCTTAACATCCAAAGAGAATTAGTTAATCAAATCGAATGAATACTGCGTGAATACTAACCGGCTTCTTATTAACCAAGCCCGCGAGGTCTTTAGGGACTGGTCGTAATTTAGCAGGAGGGGTGGGGAGGTGGAAACAGTGGGGGGGGGTCACATATTCTTTAGCCAGGAAAAAGGGGGGTTCATAAAATATTAGACAATTTATGAAGGCGGGGAGGGGTTCTGCTGTTTTAGTTCAATTAATCGTTTTATACATGCATTCTCATATTTTGTTTGAGTTTCATTGAAAAAAATCGATTCTTTAAACTTAGAATGAAAAGTTAGTTGAAAAAACTAAAGTTTTATATATGACTATGTATTGGTATAATATAAATTTTAGTATTTGATTTAAAGCGCAACTAGAAAATTAGAAAATTTAAAGTGCAATTAGAACATTTATTGAATGCAGGGTTTAGCAGTAGGTAGGTACATTTTTACTGACACGAGCAAGAGAGGGGGGAGGGGCATTATTTTTCCGGGTTATGGCAAAGCAGGGTCACAAAATATCATTCCTTAAAATTTTGAATTACACCTCCCCACCTCCCCCCCCTGATAAATTATGACCAGTCCCTTACAGAGAAATGTCGGACCGAGGTATTTTTTTGTACAGACCGAGCCCATAGGGCGAGGTTTGGACAAAAAGACCGAGGTCCGATATTTCTCTGTAAAGACCGAGCAAGCAAGGAAAATAAAAAGTTTATTATATGGCATTTGTAGGGATTTATACTTGGAACAAACAAGAAATGCATGATTTGAAATGCATATTAGTAGCGTGGTACACATTCAGTGGTCGAAGAAAACAAAAATTACCAATGTATTCCTTCGTTCTCTTAAAACCATTCACAGATACGTTATGAATAACAAATTAAATTATAATTTTCAAATTTCCAATTAGTTTTGCTGTTTTGTTTTAAAATGCGTGCGTTTGTTTTTTCGTAATGGACCGCCGGTCCATCACGGGAAATAATGGACCGCTGAAAGTGCTTCTCAGCCAATCACAGTCCGCCATTTCACCGGAAGTGATGCTTGCCATATATGAATTACTGCATAGTCAATATTTAATTTCCAATGATGAAGCTAGAATACCTTTTTAAATGTCTCACAGCAATCGAAGTATATATATATTATTACCTCAAAACAAATTTCTAACCAATTATTTCTTAATTTTTCTTGCTACTCCGTATTTCAAAGAAACAATTTCATCTTTTTTAATATATTTAGTTTTGAATGTTTTCCTTACGACAATGTAATTATTTTATTAATTAGCGTAAATTAAATTAAAAACACTTCAGCAATTTTGTTAAAGCAGGCCCGAAGTAAAATTTCCCATTTTTTCTTAATTTTCTTGACAGAATTACGAAAGAGTATTCTCTTTAATGTTTTAATTAAACATCGTGGGTTTTCACGACAAACATATTTGGTTCATGCCATTTGACGAGTTTGCCAAACCGGGAGCCATGTTTATACACTGAAGCAGTGTACACACTGAAGATTTTACAGTATTAAACTAAATAAAAGTTATATTCGAGGAATGAAGAAAGTAAAACATACACACCGTTAACAATACTCAACAAATTATTCAATGTTTCATTCATGTTTTCAATAATTTGTTTTAATTCTGTTTTCTCTCTTTCAAGCTGATTGAGTTTCTTCATTACCTTTGAAAAAAACGAGAAGATTCAACATCTTATTTATTCAATAACTTGAATATTAACCTTCAGAAATTTGAATTTTACAATTATATAAATGAGTCGTAGCATCATGAAAATCATCTGTTGTAGCTACGTGAATTTGCGGGTCAATTCACTAATTAGGTGGCTTCTTCTGAAAGAAGAGGGCATTCATAAAATGCGTTCCATTGAAAACAAAATTTGACATTGGTATAGTTGAATAGCATGCATGCAGATATAGTATACTTAAATAACATTGGAGTTGTTCCGTGTGCATTCAAGCAGAGATTGCCGTAGAACGTAACAGCTGTCTACGGCAATTTTGGCAGTTTCCATGGCATTAATTTTAGCAGTAATTTGAATTACTGTAACAAAAGTTTCATTTTATTGTTAATATAGTGATTTAGTGAATAGTATAAAAATTATACTTATACGGCATAAAATTGCCGTCGTTTCCGCAATGATCCACAGCATTTTGTACTACCTCTACGGAAATTGCCGCGATAAAATTCTAGGCCTGGTTCAAACTTAAAACAACTATAAACTGTAAATTCAAAGCCACAGAACAGGCTGTTTCAAAAGGTCGTTAATATCGTTAAAATCTAAGAAAGGTTCCCATGTTGAAAATAGGTTCTCGTTTAACTTCGACGAGCATTATTTACAAGCCAGAGTACGTTATTAAATTAAACTAATATATTTCTTCATTTCTAACCTTTTTCTCTTGTGCCACAACACACCATGATTCATTGGCTCTTACATAAAGTTCCTTGGTATCTTTACGGTATTTCAACAAACCAGGAACTTTGGGCACTTTCTTTGATGTCTCATCATCTGGAACAACGACAATCTGAAGAAATGTTGTTTTAAAAGATCATCTTTTATACAGTTTCTTATCATTAAACAATAGCAAGAAACGTACTACACCCGAAGAAAAATAAGACATGCAATAACTGATTTACTCCACTTACGCCATCATTCAACAAAGCTTCTTTTCTCCCGCAACGACCCTAAAAAGAAAGTAACAAAATTATGAAGTAATGGTTTCTGACTGAGCTACACTGCACTAAAGAATGAACTAACAGTGAGTATCGAAGAAAAGGGTCAGATATAGGGATAGAAGGTGATAATCAAACAAGTCATGCCATTGATACTCCAATCTTGGTCGTATGCAAGTCATACACCAGAGAAAAAGGTCAATTGCTGGTAACTTATACCACGATAAGGTGTCTAAGAAAGTAAAACGAAATGAAACTTACTACAAATCTCCGTTGTTTCGCATTTTATTAAAATGATCAATTAATGCATGATGCATGCCGTATGTTTTCGCCCAACATAATAAAGTATGTCCAACTACAGCGTTGTCATCCCCGAAAAATGAAACAAAATATAGGCGCAGGTATAGATTGTTGAAGAGATTTGTAGATGGAAATTTTGAGTAGAATTTTTATGCATTTAATTTATTAGACATAACCAGGAGACATAACCTGCAATTCCGGTGCAGCACTCTAACCAACTGAGCTATCCAGAGTTACAGTTGTCGAGCTCTAACCACAATTTCATGTATAAATGCTAAGGTGATGCCAATGGAAAGCGTATGAACAATCCCTTCGACAACATAACATATAGTTAAACTGTCAACAATCTTATCTTTACCTTTTCTGGCGTAGGATTTCCATCCAATAACTTGTACCTGACTGTGTCTCCATTCGGTGTTGTCACTTTATAATCCATGCATTTACTCCAAACTTTTTTGGGAATGGAAGATCTCACCCAAAACCAGGAATAAACATTCTTCACAATAGTTCCATTTCTTCGTTTCTTGCAGTCTGTGCCACAGTAATCACCTGTTGCACCCGCTGGACCAAAGCAGCCACAACACTGGTAATAAATATGTTTTGCTATTTTAAAATTATTTATCTTTGTTGTTAAATTTGTACTATATCATATGTAGAAGTTATCTCCTAACTTGCATGGCATCTCCTATAACAGGCAGCTGTGGATAAGAAAAATATCAGCAGAATTTCGATGAGATTTTCGTATATAATTTTTCCGATCTTCACTACCAACTTCGAAACGTGAAACGACTGCTTATATTTTTCAGACAGTAGTATATCTCTCTCATTCCAGACATGTCTCAAATCAAATTGAAGTATTCTTTTGTTTTTTTAATGACCAATAACAAGGCTTAAATTTTTTATTTAATTTAATACGACGTTTCTGAGTTTACTCCATCATCAGGTAAAAACTACAATTTGCGATCTAAAAGCATTGTTATTGGTCATTATAAAAAACAAAAGAATATATTATTAAAATGAGGCTAAGGGAAAGTTCGATACTAAATAAATTGAAGTAATTAATTAAATGTCTTATCGGCCTATCCTCTGTATTCACCCCAGTAGATATATCTCTGGCAAAGAGATCAACACGTATATGTAAATTGGTATGTGTCAAGTTACCTTCGTTTTGTCACAACCAACAAATGCTGTGGAATTCTGATAAATTCCAGAAATTGATCCGGACACACTGTAACTATAACAAAAAATATTTAAGAAAATTAAATTAAAGTAGCGCAAATTAAAAGGCAGTTGGCAATTTGCATCTGGTGCCCATTTGCTATAGCTACAAACATTTGTTTTCGAGATATTGTAACAAGAAGTTACTGTTAGCTAAAATAAAAATAATCGTTGGCGAATCCTGTGAGAGAGGATATGACGTACCTATACAACGTAAATATTGGTGCATCCGATTTACAAATTTACAATTCTTATAACAACTTAACGAGGTCAGAAATCGGCATTCAGTGGTTGTTCATGTGCGTGCTAACATACCTAAAAGACCCAGAATGGTCGGTTTGAAACTTGATTACATCATGATCAAAAAACGCAAATCCACGGCGGCAAGGCTTCTTCAAGCACGAATTCATCATGGTCTGTAAATAAAGATCATTTTATGTTGATTAAGGAATTACTACATCATCACAAATGCACCAATCTTGGGAAAAATGTAATGGAAAATGTTCTGTTGTTTTCAATTTAGTATCTTCAACGTTCGCCACCGAATTTGGGTTTGACTTATACCTTATTGGGAATGCATAACATGTAACATTTCTTTAATTTCTACCAATCCATGTACTATAAATTCTAGTTACCCATCCAAAACCTGTTGCAGGATTATGGTAACCTCCAAAGACGGAACAACGAAACTTTGTGGTGACAACATTTTCAGTTTGTAAATCCTTCACATATGCGATGTTTCCAATTCCAGGTGTCGCTTGTGCACATCCATGATCCACAATCATCAAATTCTTTAACAGACGTTCAGTTTGTAATCTAAATGACCTAAACAGGAGAAATGTAAAGTGGATATCATCTCACACTTCACACTCATGTCGCAAATTTGCTGAAAGATTATTGCATGCAACAAGGATTGAACTTTCGGCTGCAAACCTACCAATGTGCTAAAGGTTTGCTGAGATCCTCTGTCCTCGCCATCTGTATTCTCAAGTCAAGGATAGGAGCATCTCCCAGGTGACTTGCCCAGTGTGGATTGCCATACGGCTCGACAGCGTCGTTACTGGATGGTACTGTCCATGTTACAGAGGTATTTGTTCTTCCAAATAACATGTAACCTCCGCCGTCAGTAATCATATCACAATATGCCTGACAAGATAAAGAAGAATACAAAAACCTGGATCGGAGTAGAAAGGGCTGGTGCATACATGATTTTCTTGCTAACAATATACATGAAAATATTAAAACTCAATGCTCATTGCTTAAGTGTGTGTAGTGAATTTCTCCCCAACTTGCACAGCAGTCTGCTGGAAACGAGAAGGGAAATCAAGATGGCGGCAGATATTAGCAATACGAATTTCCATTTTCGAATTTTCAGAATTCAAATTGCACTCAAAACGATACATTACGTACACTCATGTTTAGAAATGTATCATATCCAAGTGAGCTAACTAAATACAGTAGAGTTCTTGCAGTTAATAACTCTTTCTCAAAATTAACTTTCACATTTATCATGCATTTTTAAAATTCACCTGCTTAGGATAAGTTCCACCAAGGTCGATCCAGTACATTCCATCCTTTGCTTCAGGATTATGGTCCAATATTTTCGAACAGTCATAAGCAGGACTAAAAAGCTCACCAATTGGAGTTTTTCCTGTAAAAAATATCAACTCTGATGAATGTTATGATTAACATGATTAAAGCTTACATAATTGCTAAGCATAATGGATGACGTTGTAGGATAAATTCCAACAATGTACTATTTTAGAGGCAAACTAATATTTGTAAGTTTAAAAAAATTCTGCAACCGAGAAAACTTAACCTAGCCACCCTACCAGAAGACGTGTGGTCGAGCGTCGTTTCAGCATCAACGCGAATCCTGCATATAGCTTAAGTCCTGGGCAAACTAGGAAACATTGTTGCGGAAACATTGTTTCCTGCCAATGTTTCGCCATGTTTCCCAGAGTGGGCAAGCACTAGGAAACATTAGTGAAGAACATAGGGAAACATCAAATGTTTCTGAATTTGGTAGGAAACATTTTTGCTTCTCGGAAGCAAATTTTGTTTCCGCAACAATGTTTCCACGGGTGGGCAAACAGGGAAACATTTGAGGAAACATCGAGAATCACAAATGTTTCCACAACAATGTTTCCTAGTTTGCCCAGGGCTTTAGTATCGTTTTGACGAAAATCTTTCCATTCCTTTATAATCTCAAGACATTAATCATATTTTGGAAAAATAACGTAAAATTTATGTAGACCATACATATATTTTATATCGGAAATATACATGCTCCTTTATGCTTATGATTTCCTTGTGTTTTCACAGAGGTAAACTATTAATGAGAGCGTAAACAAATACATAAGATGGCTGTCCCATTGAAATAATAAATATTATTTCTATAAGGGATGTCCAGATGCAGTTCAAGACAGATCTAGAGCTGAAGATCGTCTAAAAATTATCGCTCCTTAAACAAGGAAGCAGAGACTGCAATGAAAGAAGTTTGGTACTTGATATTTTTTCTACGATACCTATATAAACATTATTTATGAATCATTGAATATTTTGAGCAATTGAAATACTTTTTCATGCAGTCCTCAACAAAAGTTAGATAACTTTAAATATTGTTTAAACGAAATTAGCCAATTAGGGAAAACGCTAGGAGTTATGTATAGTGGAAGAAGACGATTCATAGCATTCAACAATATTTGTTTTTTGTCTAAAACATGGAATTTCATACAATTTGTAACAAGCAATTTTGTTAGATCGTGAAGTGCGACTTATCTCAATTGCTCTAAAACAAACCTCCAATGGTTGTCCATTTATACACGTCGTTTTTCTTGGTACAAAATATGATAAGCTCATTATTCTCTCGATCTTGAACCAAAACGTCTTTGCCATGGATGGTTTGATTACATTTGCCGGGATCATTACCATTTACAATCACCAGTCCCTACATTCAAGTGCAGAATATTTCACTGTTAGTGTTCCACTACTGATTGCGAAAGGTAACTACTCAGCGGTCGCTACGGTTTTTGAATATACAGGTCATTGTTTTGCATTCAGGTTTTGTTCATTTACATAAAGAACCACATTAGTGCGCGAAAACATGACTTAAAGAATCTCATCAGAGTATTATTATTTGCTCTACATCTTTCTGGAACTTGCTTGAAAACAACCTATTTGAACGACGAAGGATGATGCAATCATAGTAGTACACTTTGTTGCATATTTGCATTTTATAACTTGCTTGACATGTATTTAACTTTATCGGTTCGGGCACCCATTAGAGTAACATTATAAACAGGAAATGTTACATGCTGCAACACAGTAATGAACAGAATTGAGAACCAGACACAATACCACAGTGTGATGTCCTGGCACATGCGCAAAACAATTACACTGCATGCGAAATTTCACTCATTTCCTCTAGCCCTGTATTAACGTATTGTAACTTATCTCGCATTGTGAAAAGTAAAACGATTGAAAACGACTAAACAAGTGCGCGAGTTTGCTAGCTTGTCGCGCTTGCAGGAAATTGCATCTCCTTGGCGTAATAAATGAAAATACAGTTACTAATTCGGAATTCAAAAATATTAAAAATTTCCTGACAATGTTTCCTCACAACTCTTTCGGCTATGCGTACAACGAAAATAAACGCGGGAAAGGTATAGTTGTTTTAGCTACCAGTTGTTTCGCTGTCCATCCGCAGTTTTATTACGCGCTGCAAGAGCGACAACTTGACTTAACAAAATCCCTCAAATAAATTTGATGTTAATCACCTGGTGAAATAATACTGCACACCATGGCTCAAGCTGCTATACAGCTTCATAGAGTCATCGATCAATACTGCATTTGCGTGCGACATTCTGTCTCTACATTTCTCACTCAGCTGCGCCAGATTAATTAGACCGTCGTGGAATCCCTTTCAAAGTTAGTGGGGGTTGTCTACTTCCTTGCTGTTGGTCTATGGAGGACAGTTTCTACCGTACAAACTAGCAATCCTGATGATGATTGCAATCTTTTCTCTGTTGATATTCAGTGATATGTTTATTTCTACATGATGTGAACAATCATATAAATTTCCTCATTGTATAGGGTCAAAGGCGATGTTGAGCTGTAAACTCGCTCTCAGCACTTTGTTCTAAGAAATAAAACAGGGCAACAGGGATTCAGCGTTTTGGGTGACCGGTTTACTAGGTCCACACAACCATTAGGGGGGTCCGGGGGCATGCTCCCTCGGGAAATTTTTAAAAATTTGGGCCTCTGAAACAGCATTTCCTGCGTTCTGGCGTCACTTTTTAAATGAATTTAATGATTAAAAAATATATCTTTTAAGAGAATTTTGGACTAACACGCAGCTCAAACGATGAATTGAACCTTTTCGGAAACCTATTAGCTAGTGCTGAAAATATAGGATTGGCAACTGAATTGCTGACGCATCAATAGTTATTATAAGTACAACAAGTAGAGATGCTTTTAATATAAACATAGTTGTAATTTTAGATCTATACGCTTTCAAACCAACTTTAACAATGAACTAGAAACCAAACTGCAAGAGCGTGAATAAAGCTTCACAAATAATCACAAACATTTCCTGATTCTCTCTCGCCAACGCAATGATTCTGTCACGCAAGATTATACGTACATTATTATATTTCGCCCTATCATGAGTATAGACTGTAATTACACGTATAAACATCGGATACGCTTGTTGATGAATCGATATTTACTATACAGTAAGTAGAAATAGCCTACCGTTATAACTTTAGACTATATACTTCTAAACAAACCTTCAAAATGAACAAGAAATCCATGTAAATGCTTCTATCGCCAACGCAAAGATTCAGTCACGCAAAATTATAAACATATTTCGCGCGTCCTCGAGTTCTGTTAACTTTCATGCCCAGTTTTCTGTAAATACAGCTCGATTCACAGGTTTATGACCGGTTTACATCCGCCGGAGCGCGGCCGTTTAGCCAATCGAATGGCGTATCGACCGGTTTACTCTCATGGAGAAAACTCTGACCACCGGTTTACTCATAATTGCGGGCGGTTATGTGTGATTCATGCGATGTTTACAAGTCCACGACCCACGACGATCTATTAGCAGATTATTAGTCTAGTATTACAACATTTCGTAAGAGGAAACCAGGGCGATAAGTCCTTAATTATACGCTAGGTAATCCATAATCAAATTTCAACAACAGTGTTTATTAAGTGGCGTAATAGATTAGACAACATCAATTTTATGAAACAGAATATTCTTTAAATTAGTTATATACATGGAAGGTTTCAGGAAAGTATTAATGATGCAAGAATTTTTGTATTTGCATGCCATTTTGTAAAACTGATAAGATAAGCAGTTCATGCTTATATAAAACCAAAATGTGATGAAACAGTGAAAATATAAATGTTGAAGGGGTTTTGTGGATGGAGTGTGAGTTATGCTTTTAAGACCTAATCAAGAGAAGCAGAGGAAAGTGCAACTTTTGGCACAATTGCAGAAATATTATATATATATATATATATATATATATATATATATATATATATATATATATATATATATATATATATATATATATATATATATATATATATTAATTTTAAGTTTAAATTTAGACATCTTACATGTAAGTCTTAGCTTATTGTTTCCTGAAATATGAACGTTCGAAATTATGCAAGTATTTAATATTAGGTCTTTGCAAACTTAAATGTACATGAAAGACTGACCATGGAAGGCAGGCGCTTAAATTTTTCGTATTCTTAAATAGCCTAATTTTTTTATGTTTTTAATGGGTTCAAACAGACTGAGTAGATTATTTCTCAGTTAGAGCAGGATGAATATTCTTTATTGAAG